GGGAGCAGCCACTGCACTCCAGTCAGGGTGACAGAGTGAGACTCCAACTCAAAAAAAAACAAAAACAAAACAATTCAGTTTATTAAAAGAACTTAAGTTCACGTAGTCTAAATAAACATCCTGAAGTTCACTGAATGCTCACTAGTAAAAACATATTAAAAACTTTCAAGAAGTATTTCTGTTCTTGTGATAGAGATATATGTGAGAGGGCAGCTTTCTTAAAATTCAGAACTGAGGCTAATTATTTACTAAACATAAATTTACAAAATATACTTTTTCAAAGAGCACATATCTTTTCTTTGATGTCTGTGAAGAGATCTCTATTTATACCATATTAAATAAGACTTAGCACTTGTAAGTATTAGTACTAAGAAGATACATCAGGATATCAATGGTCTGGCCTCATTTTTTCCTTAATATGCAATTGGTAAGACAACTGATTTCTAAAACTCTAATGTTTCTCTTTTATTTCAGTGCCATAAAATGTTATCCTGCGCGCCCACCTCATGCAGGACTTACAATACTGCTTAATGTGAGCCACAAGGAACGTCTCCACTTAGACCTTTTAATGCATTACATTTCAGTGTCCATCATCATCCCTGAAAAAGCGAAAATGAATGATACTCACCTACAGAAGGACCTGTCATAGCTTTAGTGTAGCAAAAACTGATCACATGTTTTTATATAAACACTAGAAACGAAGGCAGAGCATCAAGTGAGTAGAGAGTTGAGTGATATCAATAATATCTGCTTTTCAAAATATCCTCAAATTCTGTCAATGCAAAAATAAAAGTACACATGGAATATACTTATACCGCTCTAAAAAGAAAATAAATCAACTGATTCTATTCAACATGTAAGCAAATAATTTCATCTAATTGCTTTGACGTTGACTCATTAATTTAATGTACTGTTTAAAAGTGTAAGTGCCATAGTGCTTTATAGTGTGAATTTTCTCATGTTTATTTAAACTTGACTTTTGATTAAATAAGTTTCCACGCATATTGCATCTGTAACATTTTCAGTTTAAAGATTTTAAAGACCCTGATGTTTTCTAAGGCATTTTGAACAAAGGTCGTTTCACATTAATTGAATTGGCAGAGATTCTAGTGAACGCAAATTATCTAAAGTCAAATAAGGTTTTAGCTACCATTGAAGGCTTTAGACATTCTTTACATCTGTACATTCAAAAGATCTGTGGTATAAAAAAAGGAAATGCTACTCTTTCCATCTGTAAAGCTTCTCTCCCCATGATCTCTCTATGGCTTATATTTTGAAAAATGTCTTTCTACTCATTACAGGTATGGGGAATTTACTGAGTATGAATTCTCTGATGTTGAGAAAATTTGGAGTAATGGTGCAAGGTTTTGCCACATTCTTTACATTTGAAGAGTTTATCGCCAGTATGGATTCTCTGATGTTGCGAAAGACTTGCACACTGGGTAAAGGCTTTGCCACATTCTTCGCATTTATAGGGTTTATCTCCAGTATGGATTCTCTGATGTTGAATAAGATTTGAGTACCAATTAAAGGCTTTGCCACATTCGTCACATTTGTAGGGTTTCTCTCCAGTATGGATCCACATATGTCCAGCAAGGCCCGAACGAAAGTGGAAGGCTCTGTCACATTGCTTACACCTGTATGGTTTTTCGCCAGTATGGATCCTCATGTGTCCAGTAAGTCCAATAAGAGAGAGAAAGACTTTGCCACACTCTTCACATTTGTAGGGCTTACCTCCAGTATGGATGTTCATATGTCGTGCAAGTCCTGAGTGAGATGTATAGGACTTGTCACATTCTTTACATTTGTATGGTTTCTCTCCCGAATGGATCCTTGAGTGTTCAGCAAATCCTTTTTGAGAGCGAAAGGCTTTGCCACATTCTTCACATTGATAGGGTTTTTCTCCAGTATGGATTCTCTGATGTTGAATAAGGTTTGAGTACCGGCTAAAGGCTTTGTCACATTTTTCACATTTGTAAGGTTTCTCTCCAGTATGGATTCTCTGATGCTGTGAAAGATATGAATAACAGCTAAACGCTTTGCCACATTCTTCACATTTGTAGGGTTTCTCTCCAGTATGGATTCTCTGATGTAGTGAAAGATATGAATAATAGCTAAAGGCTTTGCCGCACTCTTCACATTTGAAGGGAGTCTCTCCAGTGTGGATTCTTTCATGATTTTTTAGATTTGATGATTTAGTAAACACTTTCCCACATATATTACATGTGTGTAAATTTCCTCCAACATTAATTCTCTGATGTTGACTACATTTTGAGGACTGGTTAAAAGCTTTGCCATATTCATATCTGTAAGCCACTTCTGGGATATGGATACTCTGGTGGATAATAAATTGGGAGTGTTGATAAAAGACTTGTCCACATTTGTTACATTTGTAATGTACAATAGAACATCCTTTCTGCCCTTCATTCTCTTTCACACTTTCCCAATCTTTCCTTAAGTGTAAATGCTTATGGTCAAATCTTCCACATCTTCTCAATGCCACATTTGTGAGTGACTCTTCTGCATGCTCCTCTGGTGAAAGGCCCTCATTGTAATGAGAAGTCATAGCTAAAAGTAATGAAAATAAGAATTTATCTCACTTACTAAATTGAAGTGAACATATCTTACAAATCTAATGAAATTATACCATGCTAAGAACATCAGCAAGATGATGAAATAAAAATCACAGGTCTAGCCGGGCTCAGTGGCTCAGCCTGTAATCCCACGCCTTTGGGAGGCTGAGGTGAGTGGATTGCCTGAGCCCGCGGGTTCGAGACCCGCCTGGGCAGGCGAGACCTCATCTCTACAATAAATCAAAAAATTAACCAGGCTTGGTAGCGTGCGCCTGTAGTTCCAGCTACTTGGAAGGCTGAGGCGGAAGGATCGCCGGAGCCCAGCAGGTCGAGGCTGCGGTGGCCAGGAGCAGCCACTGCTCTCCAGTCTGGGTGACAGAGTGAGACTCCAACTCAAAAAAAAAAAAAAAGAAATCAGTGGTACACTTTGGATGACATGTTGGGACTGTTGAGTCAAAAGGTAAATGATTCACACAGCACCAGAGAGACTACCATACCAGACATATCACAGATATAGCAATAACTTTGAGCTTTTAAAAAGTAACATGGTCCAACTATTTAACTGGAAGAGTAGACGCATAATTCCAGAGAAGACACATCCTAAGAACATGTTTGAGAGGGTCCCAGAATCTCTAACGTAGTGATTGATGTCACACTAGCTCTAGACAAAGCTATTCCATAAAGATTACAACATGCAGCTCTTTTTTATGCTAAAAAGTATTACAAAGCATACCATGAATCAGGAAAAGATGACCCAACTATTGAAACAATAAAAATCCAAAAATCAGTTCCAAAGAATTAGAGATGTATATGTTCCCTGACAATTCAAAATAACCACCTTAATGATGTTTAATAAGATAAACAAGAATACAAATAACCAAACAAAAGAAAAACCAGGAAAAGAAGAATATCAACAAACAAAAAAAACATTAAAAATACAGAATTTGTGGAGCTTACAAATTTGAAAATGTCTGAGAAAATCTCCAAAGAAATGAAAGAAATCAGAAAAATCAAAAAGTTTAATGAATTCAAGTAAGGATAAACAAAACCATACTCACAGTCAGACATATTATCAAAGTTTTGGGCTGGTTTCGGTGGTTCATACCATAACCACAGCCATTTGGGAGGCTAAGATGAGAAGACTGCCTTAGAGAACAGCCTCAGCAACATGGTGAGATTGCTTTTTGGGGGGGGGGTCACAGTTTCACTATGTTGGCCAGGTTGGAATGCAGTGGCACACTCATGGCCACTACAGCCTCAACCTGCTGCACTCAGGTGATCCTTCCACCTCAGCCTTCCAAGTAGTTGAAACTATAGGCACACGCTATCATGCCCAGCTAATTTTTTTATATATTGTAGAGAACAGGGCTCACCGAGTAGTCCAGGCTGAACTCAAACCCGTGGGCTCAGGCAATCCTCTTGCCTCTATCTGCCAAAGTGCTAGGATTACAGGCATGAGTCACCACACCTGGCTGAGACCTCATCTTTACAATAAATCAAAAAACTAGTAGAAACCTTCCAGGCTAGAAGGGATTGGGTCATATAGCAAACATGATGAAGGAACAAAACTACCAGCTAAAAATACTATATCCAGAAAAACTGCCCTTCCAATGAAAAAAGTAAAAAGACCTTTCACGATAAACAAAAGCTTAAAAACTAATCACTAGATATTCCCTAACAAGAAATGCAAAGGGGGTTCTTCTCATTAAAATTAAACTGATTGCCGGGCTTGGTGGCTCAGCCTGCAATCCCACGCCTTTGGGAGGCTGAGGTGAGTGGATTGCCTGAGCCCGCGGGTTCGCGACCCGCCTGGGCAGCGAGACCTCATCTCTACAATCAATCAAAAAATCAGCCGGGCGTCGTAGCACATGCCTGTAATTCCGGCTACTCGGAAGGCTGAGGCGCAAGGATCGCCGGAGCCCAGCAGGTCGAGGCTGCGGTGGCCGGGAGCAGCCACTGCACTCCAGTCTGGGCGACAGAGTGAGACTCCAACTCAAAAAAATAAAAAATAAAAAAATAAGAGTCAACTCACGCTGTCTACAAGAATAGTATTTTAAATCTAAGGATGTAAGCCGGGCATGGTAGCTCAAGCCCGTAATTCCAAGCAGGAGGCCAAGGCAAGAGGACTGCCTGAGTCCAGGGATTCAAGACCTGCCTGGGCAATTTGGTGAGACTTCGTCTCTAAAATAAACCAAAAAATTAGCCAGGTGTGGTAGTGCGCACCTGTAGTTCTGGCTACTTGGAAGGCTGAGGCGGAAGGATCGCCTGAGCCCAGTCAGTCGAGGCTGTGGTGGCCATGGGCAACAGAGTGAGACTCCGAATTTTTTTTTTAAATCCTATTACAAAGATATTGTAACTGAAACAGTTTGTTGCTGTCATAAGGGCAGACAGACATACGAAACAAGAAGTATGGAAATAAATCATTGTATATATACAGTCACATGAGTTATTTGCACACCTATATTTACTGCAATATGAATTCATAACAGCTAATAGTTGGAAACAAGCAAAACATTTTTTAATCAAATAAGACAATTTGAAATACAAAAACAATGTTATATTATGTAGCCTTAAAAAAAGCAAGGTATCAGACCAGGCTTGGTGGTTCAGCTTGTAATCCCAGCACTTTGGGAAGCCAAAGTGAGTGGACTGCCTGAGCCCAGTAGGTCAATGCTGGAGTGGTCGTGAGCATGTCACTGCACTCCAGCCTGGGCAATAGAGTGAGACTCTAAAAAAAAAAAAAAAAAATCAAGATATTTTGTAGTACTTAAAATCAGAATAAATCTTCAAGGCATTATTCTAAGCAAAATTATCCAGTAATAAAAGATACCACATAATTCCACTTATATATCTAAAGTCAATAAACTCCCTGATACAGAAAATATAATCACCTTTTCAGTTCTAGGTGAAGAGAGAAATAAAAACATGGGCTTTTATGGGATCCCATAACATACTGCATTACAATGTGAATATACTTAATAGTACTGAACTGCATACTTAACAATATTTCAGGCCAGGCTCGGTGGCTCAGACTATAATCCCAGCACTTTGGGAGGCCAATGCAAGTGGACTGCCTGAGCCCACGTCTCTACAATAAATAAAAAATTTGCCAGGCATAGTAGCACGCGCCTGTAATTCCGGCTACTTGGAAGGCTGAGGCGGAAGACTCACCAGAGCCCAGCAGGTCGAGGCTGTGGTGGCCAGGAGCGTGCCACTGCACTCCAGTCTAGGCAACAGAGTAAAACTCCAACTCAAAAAAAAAAAACATTTCAGATGGTCAATATGCTATGTGTTTTGACCACAATTAAAAGTAAAAATTGGCCAGGTGGAGTGGCTCACACCTATAATCCCAGCAGGTTAGGAGGTTGAGGTGAGAGGATTGCCTGAGCCCATGGGTTCAAGACCAGACTGGGCAACTTGGCGAGACCTAATCTCTACAATAAATCAAAAAATTAGCCAGGCATGGTGAAGTATGCCTGTAGTTCCAGTGACTTGGAAGGCTGAGGTAAAATGATCGCGTGATCCCAGCAAGTCAAGGCTGTGGTGGCCATGAGCATGCCACTCAAAAAATAAAAATAAAGAAAAATCAATACCTAAAAGAGAGTATAGGGTAATAAAGTTTTTCAAAATTTACCTTCAATCAAGAAAGTGTTTTACTCTCACAAAGATTATATAGATTCACTGATAAATATCTGACAAAAGCCAATTTTCATTACTATTCACCTAGACAAGTTAAAACCGATAACCAATAACCAAGAAAAAAATGTTTTCACAAAAGTAAAATTCATGTAACCATACAAATGAACACCAAATTTTGTTGGAAAAAGACATACTTCTGACTCATTTTTGAATTTTGTCCCTCATTGTCTTAATTAGGACAATATTAGAGAATTCAACATAATATCCAAAATGATCAACAGGTTATTATTTTAACCATAATTAACTGAAGTATGAACATAATTAACTAATGTAAGAAAAGTCAATGTAAATAAACACTGAAATATAAAATTGTAAATAGATAAATGAATAAAAATAAGAGAAAAATGTAATCCATAAAATTCAGAATAAACGTAATTGTACTGCTTAAACCGAATCCTTGTAGATAACTACAATTCTCAACTGTGGTAGGCATCCATGAAAAGCAGACATGCTGAATCATCAGCATACAATTAGATTAGTAACATTTCAGAAAAAAATGGGCCGCGTTTGTTGGCTCAGCCTGTAATCCCAGCACTTTGGGAGGCTGAGGTGAGTGAACTGCCTGAGCCCACGGGTTCGAGACCCGCCTGGGCAACTTGGCGAGACCTCATCTCTACAACAAATCAAAAATTAGCCGGGCGTGGTAGCACGTGCCTGTAGTTCCAGCTACTTGGAAGGCTGAGGTGGAAGGATTGCCAGAGCCCAGCAGGTCGAGGCTGCGGTGGCTGGGAGCGGCCACTGCACTTCAGTCTGGGCGACAGAGTGAGACTCCAACTCAAAAAATAGAAAATAAAAATAAATAAATTAGCTACTGAATCTTTTTCATTATGTTATTAGTATACTGTTATTTCTTCACAAAATGGAAAGCAGTAATCTAGCCTTTAGTAATAATGAAAACCCTTACATTTCTAAATACTGGAGGCAATATCAATATTATAAAATATGGTATGAAACACTGATATATAAAACAAACCAGTGGAAATACATGACAGTCTTATTCACATACAGGTGGAGAAAAGAGGATGGAAATGCTAAAGATAACTTTTTACATGCAATAAACCAAAACATTTTTAAAAATTGGTTTTTTTCAGTTGGAGTCTCACTCTGTTGCCAAGGCTGGAGTGCAGTGGCACACTCAAGGCCACATTGCAGACTCAACCTGCTGGGGCTCAGGCAATCCTTCCACCTCAGCCTTCCAAGTAGCCGGAACTACAGGCGCGCACTACCACACCAGGCTATTTTTTAATTTATTATAGAGACAAGGCCTCATCAAGTTGCCCGGGCTGGTCTTGAACT